CAAGCAAAGGAAACTCTTTTATCCAAGTCTCCCAGTATCTGCTGTTTGGCCACTTCAAAATGATAGAACAAAAGCAAGTAAAAGCACCTGTCACACAACTCAGTCCCATCAGTGGTGTTCTCTCAGTATGGTGTATGTCAGGGAAACAGAAACAAATGTGGAGAAATAGCAGCTGTGATGTTAGATGTTTTTGTCTAGCTTCTGAGTACTCAGGAAGCCAAACTCTGTGGACCAGTGACCTAATCATCAGAACCTTAGCCTGTGCTGTCATCAGTGTTCTTGGAGAGCTGCTTCTCACCTTGCAAAATCCTTCTTCCTCACGTATTCAGGTACCAGAAGTGGAAGTGAAGAGTGGGCTTTGTTCCAGATTATACAAAGTCTTAATCAGGAAGTCCATAAATGTGGGATTTTCTGAAATACTCAGTGTGTAAAAATTAGAATTACTGAACTTTAGAATAGTAAGAAAACTGAGAACCAAGGAGGGAATAATGTATTTTTGGTTGCAAGTGATAAGAATCTAACTCCAACGAGCAAAGATAAGTGGAAGCTTTATTAGAAACATATACTGAGGGGCCCTGGACAGATAGCTCAGTTGGTTAGAGTGTTGTCCCGATATGCCAAGGTTATGGGTTCGATCCCCAGTCAGGGCACATGCAAGAATCAACCAATGAATGCATAGATAAGTGGAACGACAAATCAATGTTTCTCTCAAATCAATAAAAAAGAAAGACAAACAAATACTGAGGTATCTAACGTAATCAGAGGGAGAAGTGACCAGCCGAACCTCAAGAAGCCAGAATCAGGGCAGAGAAAGTCTATGCTTCTCTCTGCATGAGGCCTTGTTTTCTCTTACTCCAAACCAGCCTTCTATACCTGGGCTGAGGATAGGCCATCACAGTTTCAGAGCTCATATCCTCACGTATTTCTCACCCTAAACGAAAGAAAATAGCTCCAGTTTTCTTTAAAATTGTGGGGTAGGATTCTGATTGGCCCCACTTCATCACATGTCCCTTTTACTGCCGGTCTTTTCTAGAATCATCTGGTTTAGATAAGGAAATAGGAGTACTATGAAAGAAGAGGTTGCTACTTCTGAAGAAATGCAAAGAGATGTATTAGCTGGATAGTACATGACTTATCAGAGGCCCTGCAGCAAGTTAAGGGCAGATTCAGAGCTAGAAACAGAATCAGTAAAATACGAATTATTATTATTTTTAAAAGATATTTTTATTAATTTCAGAGGGGAAAGGAGAAAGAGAGAGATAGAAGCATCAATGATGAGAGAGAATCATTGATTGGCTGCCTCCTACATGCCCCCACATGGGAATCGAGCTGCACCCGGGCATATGCCCTGACTAGGTATCAAACCATGTCCTCCTGGTTCATAGGTCTACGCTCAATCACTGAGCCACACTGGCCAGGCAATACAAATTATTAATAATAATAGAAGTCTCTGGATTCTTTTCATGTGTGCTACTGAAGTAAACCTCGGTGTTACTGAGCTGTTCACTCATTTCTGTTTTTAAAGGACTGATGTTATATGGAGGATGGACTGTAGCAAAGTAAGTGTGGAGTAGGGAAATGAGTTAGGAGCTCTGCAGTAGCTCTCTAGGGGAGAAACAATGTGGGTTGGACCAAGGTCAAGATAATGGAAATGGTGAAGAATGGGCTGACTTGAGATCTATTTTAGAAGAGAATCAAAGGACTTGCTGCTAGATTATATGTAAACACCACAAAAAAGAGAAAAATAAGGCATTAAAGATGACCCTTAGGTTTCTGTGAAGATTAAGGTTGAAATGAATTTGGGGAAGAATCAAGAATTCCAATGTGGACATATTAAGTTTGAGACATGGAGAGTTCCAGTAGGCACTTGTGTATCTAAAGCTTCAGGAAGAAATATAGCTACAGCAGAATCCAACTATTCTCTGAGTCATCTTTTGTACATACACTGACTGAATCCCTCTGCTGGGCTTCCAGCCAGAAACTTCAGGTGGGAATCACAACCGTTACTATGGTGAATCCTTTGGAATGAGAAACCAGGCTAATCCCTCAGGGGGTGGCTAAGAAGTAACCAAAATGGACTGTTAAACAAAAATCAAAACTTCTCTATTCAACATATGTAATACTTTACAATAAAGAATTTAAATAAAAAACAAACAAATAAATACTTCTCTATCCAGCTATGTCTTGATTCCTCCAAAGTAGACCCTTTGGACAACTATAGAAATGATGACATGCTCTTTATCATTTTGACATTTGTCTTTGGTGGATATCTTCAAAGCCAGGTTTTAAAACCTAGGGAAATTTACTAGACTTAGTCTCAGATGACTTAGGGTTGCTTCCTTTGGTAGGTTGGAAAAAATATGACCACAGTATTTTACAGCTCCTGCCATCAAGAGATGGCATCTATTTCTCCACCCCTTAAAACTGGGCTTGGTCATGTAACTTGTGTTAGTTGGTGGGACATTAGTAAACATGATGCAAACAGAGGCTTGACGAGTGCTTCTTTCTGCTTTGGAGCTTGCCCTCTCTTGCTGCTGGGAAAACTTCCACCACCCTGTGAACAAATCTGGGCAGCTTTCTGAAGGATGAGACGATGTGGACAGAGGCCTCCATCACCCCAGTCATCTCATCTGGGCACAAAGACATGTGAATGAGGCCATTCTAGAACATCCAGCTTCAGCAAGAAGATCCACCCTGCCGGCGCACAGAACCATGAATAATAATGTTTGTAGTTTTAAGTCACTACGTTTTGAAATTGTTTGTTATGTTCCTCAGAAGACAATTAACTTTGAACCAGGCAGTCTAAAGCTGTTTCACAGTTCAGATGCTCCTTCTCTCTCCCTTACTCTTTTGGAAGGATTTGTACTTAATCAGCCATCAAACTAATAAATGAAAGCTTAACTGAGGAATGTAAAGCAATGGCCGGTGGGTAGTAGAGGTACCTGGGTGCAGTGGAGTCTTCCTGGTGCCCCTGAAACAGTTCCACAAAGGTGACTCGGGTGACATAGAATGATGTAGCTTTCCTTCAGAGCACTTTGTAATTACATTGGGATGGCTACTTTACAAGGTCTAGACTAAACCACAAGCTACTAGACCAGCAATTTTCAATCTTTTTCATCTCATGGCACACCTAAACTAATCATTAAAATTCTGTGGCATACCAAAAAATATAGTTTTTGCTGATCTGACAAAAATATAGATAAAATTTTGATTCATTCATACCAGATGGCTATTGTTGTGTTGGCTATTGTCATATTTTTAATTTGGCAATCTAAGAGAAAAGGGGTCAATACCCCTGATTAAGTAGTCAGGTATTGCACGTTTTAAAAATTCTTGGGGCACACCAGTGTGCCTCTTGGGGGACACAGGTTGAAAATCACTGAATTGGACTATATAACCTTCACGAAGGCAAGGACTGTATCTGATTTGCCACCGAATGTATCCTGGTACATATTAGATACTAATTTGTTGAATGAGTAAATTTGAGTTTTTGCCTACTTCACATAAGGGAGCCAGGCTTTCAAAAACATCACTTAGCAGTATTTGTAACCCACGGGCCTGTCTCTTGCACATACTCTCAGTCACCAGCTGTGGCAGGTAATCAGGTATAGGTTTGGGATGGAGAATCTAAAATCAGTGAGATACCAGGACGCTAGTTGCTATAATTCCTTCCCCTTATCCCAAACTGTTGACAAACATTCTTTAAGACACTCGAGGAAACCTGATCTCCAAGGAAAGAGCTTTGGGCCAGGAGGAGGGGATGTGAGTCAGATCTGGAGAATGTTCATATTCTGTGAATGTTATAAGGCTGCAGTCACAAAGCAATTGTGAAACCTATGTCCCAAATGAGGTTATTTAATTAACTCTGAGACTTCCTGGGAGTGTGTCATTACCACCATCCCATATAACCTTCATCTGAGAGGCAATCTGAAGAGGAAAGCTGAAAGCACATGAGTCAGACAGAGGTAGGTCCCAATGGTCCTAGTGGGTGACTTAGGCATATTAACTTTTCCAAATCTATATTTCCTTTTCCTGCCAAATCTATAATAATGTTACAGACTGAAGAGACAATATGTCATGAATCACTCTGTATTTACAAATACACATGCATTTAAAACAGATTCTATAAATAGCTACAATACTGTATTGTACTTTTGGCCTACTTTTGTTTCTTTCGAGGTCAAAATGGTGTATGTGTTTTTTAAATCTTTTTTTATTTGGATTTTTAAACAAGATGAAAACCAGGACAAGTTGCCACTAACACATATTATGTAGCTTGAACCTTGGTGGCTAACTGTGCTATTACTGTGATTGATGAACATTGCGCTGCAATCAGCTGGAAGCTGCTGCCTTCCACTTAGCGGAAATGAGGTCACAGAGCAGGGCTGGGGGACTGCCATCTAATAAGCAGGTCTATTTTTCTGTCACCAGTAGAAGAGTTTGCCACTATCATATTTAACTCTTGATTCCATCTGTTGTAAAGATGCTTGCTTCCTTGAACCAGCCCCTGAGTTGTAAAGAATTTGACAGTTTTTAAAATAAAATTTTCAATTTTGGCCTGGCTACTCAGTAAGAGAAAAAGGATTATTTGATATATGTACTGAAATATCCAAGGGGGCGTGAGGAGCTCAGTCTGAAATCCTACTGCTAAGGTAGACGGATGTTATTGCCCAGGAAAATAGTAATTATCCCTGACTTGTATGGGACTTGACAGTGTGAAAAGCCAAGCCAAAACTCCTTCCCTGTGAGGGGACCACATTCTTTCATGGTCAGAAAAGTTGAACAAGTCACTTCCCCAAAATGGCCCATTGCTGGAGCAGGGAGGCTGCTGAAAGCACTGCTTGAGAGCTAGGTAAGAATTGCCTGACAGCTCATTGGTTAGAGTATTGTCCTCATATGCCAAGGTTGTGGGTTTGATCCTCGGTCAGGGCACATACAAGAATCAACCAATGAATGCATAAATAAGTGGAACAAGAAATCAATGTTCTCTCTCTCTCTCTCTCTCTCTCTCTCTCTCTCTCTCTCTCTCTCTCTCTCTCTCTTCCTTTCTCTCTGTAAAATCAATACAAACTAAAAATAAAGAATTGCCTGACAGAGGCAGGTACAGGGAAAGCCAGTGCTTGGGCTAAAGAAGCACTAGGCATCTTTTCCTCAGGCCCAGGGGATCTGGTTGCTTAAGAGACTGATTCTGCTTTGCAGAGTGTTCGGAGTAGTGTGAATAAGTTTGTTAACAGATTAGAGACATATCTTTTCTCCAGTAGGCTTGAAATCTGATGGCCTTGGAATCGAATCCTCATATAGATCTAACATTTACTAGCTGTGTGATCTTGACCAATCCCTTAACTTCTTTGGATCATAGTTTATAAGAAATGCGGTATAGAGTGTGGCGAAGAGCATAAACCTTGGAGCCTACTACCTGGGTTTGAACTCATTTTCTATCATTTACTCATTCGATGACTTTAGGCAAGCTAGAGAATCTCTTTATACCTTAATTTCCTCATGTTTAAAAGAGGTTGGTTATAGTTCCTCCCTCACAAAAGTGTTGGGAAGCAAAATGAGTTAATACACGTAAAGTGCTGGGAACAATGACATCAGGGTTAGCTACAATGACATTGGGGTGATGATCTTCATTCCTTGGGTTTATGTTGCAAATCAACTGAAATGATGAAGGTGAAAAAGAGTCACAGAGTTATTAGTGCCAGAAGCTATGTTAAAGATTATCCAAATAATCCCCCTCATTTTGTAGGTGGGAAATCAAGACTCAGAGAAGAGGAGTATCTCTGGTCTGGCGTCACACTTGATTTAAGGGCAGAATCCAGGTCTCCTGATTCCAAGACCAAAGTTCCGTCCTCGGCACTGTGTCAGAAAAACCAACTTTTCCATAGGGCCGACTCTGGAGGGCCCTTAAATGTAGTCCTTGGACCTGTTGCTAGTTAATGCACTTTCCTAGGACAATGAGCTGCATCTGAAATGGAGAGAAAACTTGGAAGAAACTCCCTCCCTCACCCCCACTGACTTTTGAGGCGGCATGTTAGAGCAGGGGGAAACCGGGTTCAGGCCAGGGTTGGGAGAAAAGATTTTCAGAAATCATCACTTAGTTCCATGTCATTGTTTCAGCTAAAAACCAAACATGTGCAGTGTCTACAAACAAGCTAGTATCATGAATTAACCCATTCAGTTTGTTTCTAGAGTCAGAGGGTTTCACGTATTTTTTCTTTTCTTCAGGTATTTAATTAAGCAGCTACCTCCAGGAGTGGTTTCACATCCGATTTTTGGTAAACACTAAAGTTTCACTCCGAGGAGAATATATGAGGTTGGGATTCAAACATCTGCTTTTACTTTTCTCAATTTGTTTCAGGGTCATTCCTTCCCCCCCTTAAATTTATTCTGCTTTGAACGACATTTCCCAGTTGGACTACTCAGGAGTCATTGAAAGATGGGTTGGAAGAAAGGGCAGGATGGGGAGAAGATCCTATGGACACTGGCAGAAGGAAGTAGAACTATTTGATGTAGAGAAAGGGCAGATCCCAGGGGTCATGACTTCTGTTCTCAAGTCACCTCAGGGTGTCATGGGACCGAGGAATCAGACTTTGTGAGATCTCTGACAGCAGAGCTAGTACAAACTGAGTGACAAAAGGAAGAAGAATTCCTAGGAGTTAGATTTAAGCTTAAAACTTCTGATTATAAGAGCTGCCCAGAGATAGTGTGAACAATGAGCTCCCGTCCCTACAAGGAACGTGTGCTTTAGGGGAAGAGATCTGGTTGTGAGGCCTGACAGCCACTTGTCAGAGATAGGGATGGGAATTAACTAGTCAGGCTAGGTCAAATTTGGGATCTTACCAACTCTAAATTTTTCAGATTCTGGGGGTTTAAGAACCAATGACCAATTTCAAAGAGTTCCCACAGTTTTGAACCAGCTGGAAAGCAGCAAAATCAGAAATTCATGACCTGCTTCTTTATCTTGCCCGTGTTTCTCTTTTTTCTTTCTTGGCTTGCTCTTTCATATAGCAGGAACCTTTGACATTTTTCAGGGAATAAGCTTTTTCTTTTAAGTGTGTTTCTGACTCAGCCTTTGCTCCTTCAGCATCATTACAGAGCTCTCTGGAGATTAGGTCTGGCCTGTCACCACAGCAACTGCCCAGGCCCTGTGGGCATCCGTGGTAACAGACTTAGGGCTTGCAGAGCGAAGCTTGACTTGCAGTGTGAGGAAGCTCCACAGGGGAGCCCGATATGAAACAAGCATGTCGTGTATGGGGAGGTTTTCTTTAATAGGATTAGCTGCAGGTGGGCCTCACTTTACACAGTCGGCCAGGCCCTGGCAAGTGTGTGTGTGTGTGTGTCAAGTTTTGGTAAATGGAGGATATCTTATTCTAAAGGCAGAAAAGAGGTTTGCTTTCCAAGTCCCTGTAGTGAATCCCCTTTGCAAAATGGAGTCTCCTTCTGTAAATCTGCACCCACATTGCAACCTGGCTGTTAGTCTAGTGCTGAGTGTCTGTGAGTGGGGCCATCTGCAGAGAACCCCTCGGGCACGCTTCCACCTCCAAGGCAGGCAAAGAACAGCAGCAACGCAGCTGGCTCGGGGCTGGGGTGGACAGAGTGTAACAGGGGAAGCAGAGAGAGTGCGGGGCCACAATGAGGGGAGGTCAGGAGGGTGGGCCTTGCCTAGCATGAGCAGTTCTGCTGCAGCAGCGGCGGGGTGTCCGAGAGACGGGTGTTCTTGGAGGCACCCAGCACGGAGGGGTCCGTGTCCAGCGAATCAGACATCTTGTCGCAAATGGCATCCACCAGGCGCTCGAAGGCCTGCCTCACACTGATATTCTCCTTGGCGCTGGCTTCAAAGAAGTCAAACCCTGCGGAGGAGAGAGATACAGATAAGGATTTTCCTTTCCCTTTCAGGCCCCCTGGTCAGACCACTCTGGATTAATACAGCCAGTGCTCAGGGGAGAAGCAAGGAGGCCTAATCCCATGGGCAGAGAATTCTGCTTCAAGGAGACAGCCCAGCGCAGGGATTACCTGTACTGGTTTAGATCCTGGCTCTACCATTGACCAGCTGTGTAACTCCCAGAAAGTCACCTATTCTCTTCACGAATCAATGCCCTAGTTTATAAATAGGGATAAGTTTACCTACCTCATAGAATTAGTTCAAGGACTGAAGAAGATAATGAATGTAAAATGTATATAGCCCTGTGCCTGACACCGAGGAGAGTCATTAGGTATACTTTCCAATAGAGTGAATACTTCAATATGTGTGCATAGTACTTCCCAGTTCACATCCATTATCTCATTTGATCGTGATGTCATACCTGGGGGAAAGAGGGTCCGGGCAGACCCTCTCCATTTCACTAATGTAGACACTGTGGCTGAGAGAAATAAACCAACTTGCCCAAGATAAGGCACCAGTATGAGAAGCAGGCTTTGGCCTTTTTGACCAGAGCTTTCCCTCCTCTTCCCCCTGCCTCCCTTTCCCCCTAGTCTGGCCAGCACTAGTCTAGGCTCTGGGAGGCACCCCAAGATCCACACTGAATAAGCAAAACTCTATTTGCCCTTTCCACCCACAGACACAAAGGCTTATCACCACTCAGTGGGGTGCCTTCTTCCTGAATTCCCCTGGAATTGCCCTGTATCTCTCCTTCCCCCAACAAGCCCCCACAAAAGGCCCTCAGAAAACTGCACCGAAAGCATGGGACATCCTTGACTGTTCGGTACCTTGAGATCTTTAACGACACTTTCTGTGTCAATGAACAGGACTTGGTTGTCTTAGGAGACACAAGAAAGGCCCTCCTGATTCAGACAAAGTGGCTGCTTTCCAACTGAGGAATCTTGGCCAGGTTGGGGGCAACCCTTGAAAGTCTAAGCCACTTTCTCCATCACTCCCCTGCCCTAGCCTACTCCTTCCTCTTTTGTCTGTCTACCTCTTTCCCTTCCTTTGGAGTCTGTCTTTATTTCTCCTCAAAAGCTTCTTTCTTCCTTGTTTTTTTTTTCTTCATTTTAGCTCTTCTTTTTCCCTTATGTTCCTTGCACTCTTTTCTTGGGGGTCTCTAATATTTATTGAGCACCTACTATATGCCAGACTCAATGCTAGGAGTTTTACAAATATCATCTTACTTAATCTTCCCAGCAGCCTGTTGGGTAAATAGAACCGTCTCCAATTTGTAAATGTGAAAACCAAGGCTCCAAGAGATTATATAACTCATACAAGGTCACATGGCTGTATTAGTGGAAATTGGGTCTAGATCTGGGTTTGGCTAGCTCCCAAGTCCATACACAGTCCAGCCTCCTATTTCTCCCTCTCACTTACCTTTTTCCCCCTGATGATATCTTTTTCTTCCTTTACAAGTACCTTTGGCCTCCTTTGCTTTTATCTGACTACCACCGTGTCTGAATCTGAGCAAGTCACTTCATCTTTTTGAATCACTTAACCTCTATGAGTCTCAGACACCCCATTTGTCAAATAGAAATAATAACAGTGTCTTCCAGCTGAGAGAGGTTGGGAGGACTGAGCGAGGTGATGGATAAATTGCTGTACAAAAGTTGCCTGTTATAATGACAGCTTCTTTCTGCTCTTCTTCTTTCATCTGCGTCTCTCCTCTCCATCTTTTTCATCTCCCACAAAAGAGGATGGTCTCTTTCCCCTGCCCTCCTCTCCCTGATATCCCATTGTCTACAAAGAGGCTGAAGCCCCCAGGTACAAACAAGGCTCTTCCCCCAGCCATCCCAGCTTGAAGCTGGGATGTGAGTACAACCCCTGCCAGCCCACCTCAGCTGACAGCTTCTCCTGTGGCCCATTTCCCGACCTGAGAAAGGCAAGCTGCAAAAGTGCAGGCTAATTTCAGCCTGTGATGAAGAAGGAGGCAGCTGCTGGCTCATTATCCTCAGGCCATAGAAACCTAGTCAGCTTCAGAGACCCTCCAGCATGTAGCTTTTCCTTACTGGATATCATAAAAATGGACTGTCTGTTGACTGGTTTATTACAAGTGACAGTGGCAGGGGAGGTGTTGGGGGTGTTGCCTGCTCCCCCCAAACAAATAAAGGGGCAAACAAATAAAGAAGTAAATAGCCTTAAACCATCAGTGTAGATGAATGTGAGGACACAGGTCAAGGCCAAGAGAACAAATGCCTTCTGAGGAAGTGGCACTGAGGGGAGATATGCCACACGGAGCAGGTGGGCAGTGGGAAGAAGCCCAGGAGTTAGACAGCCTGGATTTGAACATATCCCAGTCAGCTACCAACTGGGTGACCATAGGCAAGTTGCCTAATCTCTCTAAGCCTATCTTCTCATATTGTAGAATGGGGTAAATATTTCCTACCTGATAGGGCAGTAATGAAAATTAAATGCACAAAAGTATGTCAGTCCCTCACATGTGCATAGTTCTTAACAGTTCACAAATACAAATTTTTAAATATATGTTTTTATTGATTTTTTTTTTTAGAGAGAGAAGAAGGGAGAGAGAGAAAGAGACAGAAACATCGATGGGAGAGAGAATGGGGATCGAGCCCAAAACTTGGGCATGCATCTGACCAGGAATTGAACCAGCAACGCTTTGGTTCACAGGACAATGCTCAACCAACTGAGCCACACCAGCCAGGGCCACAAATACAATTTTAGAACAACCTTGTGAGGGGCTAAGGTGAGACAAGGGTTATCACTTGTAATTTGCAGATAGGGAAACTGAGGTTTAGAGATGGGGCATTAGCCAGGGCTCTATCTCTTATGCCCCCTTGTCTTGCTCTTAGTTGGAACAGTGACAGAACATACTAGAACATTTCTAACCCAGGTAGAGAAAACCAGAGGCTGTGCAGGAATGCAGTGGAGGGAGAGAGTGGAGGGGAAGAGAGGGGGTGGGAGCCTCCAGAAGTTAGTGGGGATGGGAGCCTTTAGGGCCAGCACTGAGCAAAACTCTTCACCCAACTAACTTCTCATTTTTCAGGACCCAGCTTAGATAGGGCCTCTTCATTCTCCTTGTGCTTCCTCTGCCATAGCACATGTCACCCTGCATGCAGAAGTCCATTTGACAAGACCATGTCATTCATCTGAGTGTCTGCACCAGTTGGAGTAGGTGCTTGCTGAGTAGGTGGTTGAATGATTAGATGAACGAGGTGGGAATGAGCACGGAGGATGTGGATGAGGAGATGTGGACAGTGGGGGTCATAAGAACTCAGCTCATTGGGATGGTAGATCCTGTGCTGGGCATTGGGGACACTGAGGCGAATCAGAAACAGTTCCTACCCTTAAGGAACTCCTAGTCTAGTGTGGGAGAGACATAGTGACAATATTGTAGTGATAAAAGCTGGAATGGTGAGAAGCCAGGCGATGGTCAGGGCACAAAGTTATTTAAATGAGCCTGGGCACCAGGGAAGGCTTCTTGGAGAAGCTGATTCCTAAAAAGATATCAGCTAAATAAAGACACATGGTTGTGAGTGTATTTGTGAGCACATGCATGTACAGCACACAGGGAAAAAGGTATGAGCACAGACAATAGGGCAAAAAACAGCCTTGGTTTATGCTGGAATGACCATAGTAGTCTGTTATCATCAGAGCAGAAAGCTCCCAGTGGTGAGAGATGAGGTAGTAGGTGGCCAAACATGGAGACCTCGTATGTCATGCTGAGACTTGTCTCCACTGCCATCTCAAAGGTACCGGTGGTATGAGAACTCTGATTCCAGTAACCAGCTCATGGGTCTAGCCAGCTCTTTCGCTAGCAGAACAAGTCCAGATGCACCCCCACCTAATTATTGTCAGTCTCCTGGAAGGTTCTTCATTCGTAGGCCCAGATGGTAACCTTTTCCTCAGGTTCATTAGTAAGGATTCTCAGGAGCTGAGAATCTAGTGAGGTCACGAAGATGACAACTGATAAATCAGACTAGCCCCCAATCCTTTCGTCCCTCTAATTGGCTTCAAAACAATGGCATTTCTGCTGTCTTTAATAGGTCCCAATTCTTAACTGAATCTAATGATTCCCTCCACTCCAACATGATTACGTCTCCCCTTCCAGTCCAAAGACAGCTGTCACAGACCCACAGACCGTGTCCACACTTCCTGCTTCTGAATTTGACTTCAGAATTCTGTTCAGAAACTTGCAACCTTCTAAACTCACCCCTCCGTCCTGACACTGCCCCAGAACCTTTCTCCTTCCCTTATATGTTCAAATCCCTTCTCCATCCTTTTCTGATACCTCCTCATCTCCATCATGCATCAATCTTTAACTCACACCCCTCTGATCACTGATGATTTTGGCAAGGAACTCACTGTCTTCCTTTCCACGCAGGGTGTTCTCATTCTCAGGAACTTTTGGTTTCATGTGGACAATCCATCCAACACCCTGGCCTCTTAATGTCTTGAACATATCATTTCAGCGACCTTTTTCTTCCACTTTGTTTCAGCTATGCCCCGTTCATATAACCTGAGCTATTTTTAAAAAATATATATTTATTGATTGATTTCAGAGAGGAAGAGAAAGTGAGAGAGAAACATCAATAATCAGAATCATTGACTGGCTGCCTCCAGCACGTCCCCTACTGGGGATGGAGCCCGAAACCCAGGCATGTGCCTTTGGCCGGAATCGAAACGGGACCCTTCAGTCCGCAGGCCAAAGCTCTATCCACTGAGCCAAACCAGCCAGGGCTAACCTGAGCTATTTTGACTTGGCTTTGTGTCATCAGAATTAACGCAATAGCCAGCTTATTGGCTTAACACCCATTACCCTGCATGGTTGGTCTCTCTCTCTACTTCTCCAGCCTCATCTTCCTGGTTCACACCATGTTCCAGAAACATCAACACTTTCTTATTTGGTGCCTTTGCCCAGGCTATTACTTTCTAGCTCCTACTCCTAATTATCTTTATTACTCACCT